AAATGAATGAAAAATGTATCTAGGTGTTTTTTAATAGTAACATCCGTTTAGGAAATATTTGGGCTTGTTTTTACGTTTTATTGAATTTTCCGAATAAATTAATCTGTTTATTTGATGGAAACCTTTTGGTTTTAACCAGTGACGTGCTACTAAAGGGTCTGCCAACGTTTCCCAAAAAACTGGCGTTTTTTTTGTAGAAATAATTTTGTCTGGAAAAAAATCAAACTAAATAATAAAATAACATTAGCAAACAGGTCGAGAAAGTAATCAAGTAACGATCCTACAACAATTGTTCAAAACGAAGTCCTTCAGCATCGATACACTTTTAACATCTTCTAATCAGGCTATTCATAGAGGAACTTATCATGAGATGATTTGTTTCGTGTTCATAAGTCCAAGAAGGGCTACTGCTTCAAAATAAATAAACCAAGATAATTATAATACCAAAACGAGATCATCGTAAAGCTTACTAACTGATAATGCAGACAAAAGAATCAATTTTTGCATATGGGTTTTAAACAAATATGAGTATGTGGACTAAATTTGCTCATTATGGTCGGTAAATAAGTAAATTATCTCCTAAATGGCCGCGACTATTACGAAACAGCAAGTAGGTAACACTTTTCATTCATTTGATGTAACAGTGGGTACCTAATTGAATTGAACATTATTTCTACAAAAAACTTCCAGTGGTGTATTTATTTTTTGGGAAAACGGAGCGGCACCTTCAGTAGCATGCCACTGGTTAATGCCACGAGGTTAATATTAAATTCAATAAAAGGTCTAATTAAGTGTATACGCTGTAGTAAGTCTCATTCAAATCGTTCAGCGCAATATGAAGATATGACAGAAAAAAATATATTTTTTTGCAAACTTGAGCACCCTGTATCTCTAATACCACGCCTCCCAGGAGAAAAGTTTATAGAGCAAACGCTACTTATTTTTTGGCAACTATAGTCTGTTTGGAAATGAAAGAGAGTAATAAAACCCCGAGATAAGAACCGGCCATGGGCGTGGTAATATTTTGTTTCAGGTAATTATCGGATAACACTAATGCTAACAGGTAATGGGTGTACATTAGTATATTTTACTGGATACATCATAGGGCAGGAGCCAGTGTATTGTGACAGATCAATCCAGTCTTAGAGCTGAATATACGAGGACGTGCTAGTGCAGTAGAGTAAAATTCGACTTGTGTTTAGTGACTATTGTGCCAGTGGATATATTATTGTTTGGGTAAAATGTCGAGCTTATCAGATTACGTACCTGCTAAACGCGTGAAAAGATGTGCGCTGTCTCAGAATGAGAAGATTATTATATTAAATGTATTTAATGCATTGAAACACCAAAATCCTACCAACAGTGTTGACGACATCGTGGAAAAGTGGGAACTCGATAATTTAATTGACGTTACTGTGGAACCTATCGTTATCAATCTAGGAGACGAAGATAATTCATCAGAATATTCAGAGGATGAATTTTAATATACCTACTTTTTTATTTTCTTTATTGTACATTTATACAACACTACATTTACTCACCATAATTTGAATTTTCAAAATACGTATATTTTTGTGTGGAATAAAAGTCTATTCATTAAATTTAAATAAATATTTTGATAATAATATTGAATAATTTTATTTGAATGACTAAAAACCCTCTTAACCTGGTTATGATGCTTAAAGTAGCCTCATGTTTTGAAATGCTGTTTTTATATTGTTTACTTTTAAGAGAAATGGACCCAGAAATTGAAGCCGCATAGACAAAGACGGATTGTCGGGGATTAAATTTTAGCTACCTGCTACAATTTAGTACAACCCGGTCACACAAAATTTTTTTAAAAGTACACCTCATCCTATACCGATAATATATACCTAATATAAAAATATTGAATATAAGCACCATCAGTACTACATTTATTTACGATTTGCATACATAATAAGCTTTTATTACTCTTTCATTTCTAAACAGACTATAATCTATTCCTACAGCTTCTTTTATTTAAAGTGAAATCGCCCCGTATAAAAATGTATACTAAATACAAATACAATACATATAACAAATATTATGGCATTATGCAAAACAAACTTTTTTAATATTGGAAAAAAATCGGAATATTTAGTTCATAATAACTTAGATATTTAGTAATGACAATATTAGTAGAAGTAGTTTTAAAAATGGTATTTTTAATAATTAGTCATCGCGATTTAGTTCTATAATAAAATTTGTTTCAATAACGTATAAAACTTAAAACAAAAAGAAATTATTACAAAGAAAAATACAATATTGAGACGTTTTTTTGTGAATTTTCGAAAATAAAACGTCACTCTTTTTCAAAAAGCACTTACCTAGTTTGGTTAAGAAATCAAAAAACTAAAAGTTATTTTTATATTTTTTTATAAAATTACATCTCAAAACGAACAAAACGAAAAAAAAGTTTATGACATTTTTAGGTTTTGCCAAGTTATAGGTATTTTTTACCGAAAATAATCGAATGCTCATAACTTCTTTAGGGGTTGAAATAAAAATTTGAAATAAATCATGAAAACTACTCTAAATAATACTGAAAAAATCAGGGAAATTAAAAATTGTCCGATCAGGACCTCGTTGATTTGGCATGGAATGCGCGGTATATATAAAAATATTGCTTTTTAATTTCCTGAATATTTGTAGTACAAAAACAATTCAATTAGAAGAATTAATTATTGTACATGAATGAGATTTCCTAGAATATACATATTAAATAAAAGCATTATCCATTTATAGCGATAACACAGTCAGTAAAACTGATTTAATTAGAAGCATATTTTTCACAGCAGTAGCATTGGGAGCTTAGTTAAAGTTGTATAGATTTACTGAACCCTTCTTCGATTATTTAAAATTGTATTAAAAAAAAAATCTGTATACCAAATACCTATGTAAACTTTACTTATGAATACAAATTCTAGTATTTATTGTCACGCAATAACTTTTGAATTTTCAGTTTCATGTTATATGCAAAAAATAGTAATTTCGTGCCTACAGTTAAAATTATGAATTTTGTAACATTAGTCATTTAAGTGCCTCTTTGCGTGTTGGTGCCCCAATCTTTTCATAGTATCATCAGTTAAGTGTTCGTTTCTGACTGGCTTAAAAATACTATTTAAATAAAATAAATATAACCACTTTCTCTTATGAGATATAGCCTTAACTGAACTTGATAATAAATATAATCATTCAACAAAATTTATGCAGAAAGTGGAAAATGTCACTTCGTGCTAAAAGTTTCCGGTAGACATTTAGTAAAAATAACAGAATGTGGAGTGTTATCAGCAAAAAGGCGCTTTTTAACGGATTAATTGTTGGCAGTTTCGTGCAGGAATACTTTGTGCACTTTTTTGTTGATTAAAAATACAGGGTGATGGAAATCTTGGAAATTGTTTTTTTTAAACGGCAGAAGATTCTGATAACAGTATTTATATTTATATATTCAGTGTAGTACCTACATTGCTCAGGATAAAAGAATTGTTATAACGAGTGATTTCCATAACCTGACATTTTTTTATCTCGTTAAATAAGCACTACAAAAAAATTGTTTATAATCAGAATTTAATACTTCCTTGGAGGAAATACCCTTGTGCTAAAATTAGTCCCGGTTCCATCTTGCTTGTAGGTGGAGCGGCGGTGGGTAACTTTGAAATCTATTACATTCTTTTTCGATTCATTATACTTAGATGGTGCTGTAATCGACGAAATTTTGTTTTTTCTGCAATACATTTGCAATAAAAATACCACGTTTTCACTGCAAATAATCAAAATTAACCTTAAAACAAATTTTATTTCTCAAAATTTCAATTGCTGAAAAATTAATTGTCAAGAAACTCATCCAAGAACAGGCGTCTTTTTGGGATACTTTGTCAACGCGTTTTCTTTCGCTTATGACTTACCTATCTGAGTACTTGATGAAATCTACTTTTAAATGAATGAATTTTTTTTTTTTGTATTTTGTTATAAGAATACCATTTCTTATAAAAATATTTTACTATGTTTACATTTAACGAATCGAAAAAAATTTTTCAGACAAATCCTACGAACTTTTAGCCGTAAAATCGGAATCTGTAATAAAAAATAGGGATTCCTATTTAAGATTTCAAAGTTACCCCTGGCCCACCTACAAGGAGAGAGGGAAGATCTAATTTAAACATTAATATATTTCCTCCGTGGAATGATTATTCAATTTTGAGTATGAACATTTTTTTCATAGTGCTTGATTCTGGAGATATTTGAAAGTTTCGGATTAAAAAAATCAACCTTTATATTACCACCCAATGATGGTAGGTACCTTGGTACATAATACATTTTTTCAGTATTCATGTTTGATGCAACTGGAAAAAAATTTTTGTTGAAATATATTTCCCGTTTAGCGTTTCTTTATAGTTATATCATGTTTTCAAGACAAGCATATGAAAATCACTTTCTTGAAATTTTCGACGAAAAACGGGACTTAATCAAAATGAGAATTTTTTTTATCACTTTAAGTGATAATTTCAACCAAAATGTTCTTATATTTTGTCATTTTAGTTAGTGTAACAACTAATGATTCAGAAAAATATTCTTAATATTCTATTCACTTGCGATGTTATTTTAGGATGTACTACTTTACCAAAACTGTAAAGAGAAAAAGAAGCTTTGGAAAATACCTTTCTATCGAACTAATTTGCGTCATCTTTAGATTTTGTACACATTTCTTTCGAAATCGGAATGGTTGCGATCGTACTAAAAAGATCGTAAAACGATGGGATGAGACTATATTTTAAATTAGATTTTGCCATAAAAGAAACAGATTTATGATTTCATAACAAAAAAGCCACCTTGTAAACACGCGATGTGGTATAAAATATACATATACATTAGAAGTTTCCTTTTAGTTCTGGATGTTATTGCACAAAATAAATAGAGCATGATAATAAACCGCAGTCTGGAATACTCCGAAAAATTTGTCACATAAACTTATTTTACAGATAAGGCATTCGACATTACTTATGTCAGGCTGCTGTTTTTCTCGCCAAGGCCAGAAAGTTTCTACATTTCAAAGAAGACAACCAAGGATGGACCGTGGATTCCTTTTCAGTTTTACAGGTAAATACTTTGAATACAACATTTTACAAAAGATAACATACCTATATTTCACGTTATGTTTTCACGTATTAATTTTCAATGCTTCATCAGTTTTGACGTAGCAAATTTGCTAATAATTATCATTAGGGAATTAGATAAGATATACCCAATTTTTTTAATAACAATACATTAGGTATAATCTTCTATTATAACATTAATATCTCCAAATTAAATAAATTAAATTAATCTAAATAATGAAACACTTGTTTCCTATTTATTAATACAAATGGCTATAATTTAGGTACATCAGATTTTTGTGGCACATAATATCAATCATTTTTACTCGAAAACGTTTTAATTATAAAATAGTGTACAATTTTTAATACATTCAATTAAAAAGAATTTTTATTTCATGTTAATCTTAGACATAATATGAAATATATTTTTCAGTAAATAACCCACTTTATATCTTATTTTCCAGTAGTGCGAGGTTCTCGGTAATAAAAGTTGTTTGTACAGGTATATTGCAAACATTTTCGCAGACAATGCAAATTAACATGTAAACAGAGGGTAAAGTTTCGCAGGAATTCGTTTAATACCTATATAATTTTCTTAGAATTATAGAGAAAAGCATAATCATATTTATTTGATACGGGAAATTAAATGCTTTTTAATGGTTGATTTAATTAAGAACAATTTTTTAATGCCTTTGTTCCAACATATTACAGAAATATATGCCTAAGATACTTTTTTACTAGAATACCAGAGATACATTGAATACTTTCATAGAATTACAATAATATCTAATCGAGTCCTTTTCTCTTTTATTCATAAATGAGTCAGTGTCTCATTTAGAAAAAAAAACAAGTGAAAATAAAAAAAGATATTCATTTTTACATATTTCTATTTTAAAGAAAGATTGCAGCCGACATTTGTGATGCAAGGGAAAAAAATTGCAAAGGACCATGCACTCAGTTAATGGAAATCGGTAACTCGTCAAATTATCAGAAAATGAAATATGTTGTCACGCCCAAGACCCAAAAATGAATGCCTATCGAGATAAATGAGCGAGTCCCATCGCGCTTATACATAGTCTTTTTTGCGGAAATTGTTCTTCTCGCACTATCTTTTTCTCTCTGAGAGAAACTAGACGAGTTCTCATGTGGCGCCTTCCTCTCGAAACAAAGAGAAGATTTTTGAAGGAATAAAAAAACAAGCGTAAAGAAAAATGCGGGCGCAAAGTTGAAAAGCGGGTGTAAAATAACAAAAACCGATGTAAACTAAAAAAGTTGTCAAGAAGCAAAAATACCAGAAACAATGAAAGAAAACGGTAAGCGCAAAGGGAAAAAACCGAGAGTAAAAAAAATCAACTGGATAGAAAGTAAGAAAAGCGGGCGGAAATTAAAGAAGTTGGCATAAAGTAAAAAAAAGAACGTGCGTGATATAAAAACAAGCAAGTGCCTTATAAAATAAGCGGGACAAAAATGGCATACGTAACGTTAAAACATGCAGGCACAAAGAAAAAAAGCGGGCGTAAAGAATAAACAAACGGGTGGAAAGTAAACAAGTGGGCGTAAAGTAAAGAAATGACATATGGTAAAAGTAAGCAAGCGTGCAGTAAAAATAAGCAGACTGTAAGTAAGAAAAGTAAGCCTAGAGAAAATGCAGGCCTACAGAAAGAAGTTGGGCGGAAAAGCGGGCGAAAAGTAAAAATAGCACCTACAAAATGGTAACGTGGCGAATCAACAAAACTATTAAGTAGACGGGATCTCATAAAAATTGATTATAACTAGGGCTGTCTAAACTGAGTTGCGGGACATAGGCGTACGCCTTATTTATTAAAAAACAACAAATTAAAATTGTCTACAATACACCACCATAAACTCCAACGGATAGGAACTAATCGGCAGTATAAAAACACAACATCTGCATGATAAAAAAGCAACAGTATACTAAAGTGAAAAAGCATTTTGAGGCAGCAGTTCGCGTATGTCTCGGTTGACCCGCTTGGCACGCCATTGAATTGCGGCTCTCTCTGACAGCCCTAGTTATAAATGATCTCTTAGGTCACATAATACGAATCTAAGTTTAAGTCCACCATTTTGGCCTCGATCGCCATATTCAATTTCTGAAATTCAAACAAAAATTGAATACGTAATATTGATTATCTTTACTTATAATAATGTCTAAAATGACATAGGAAGTTTAGCGCTGCCGCTGCTAGATTAATATTAATCATTAATGATAAGATAATAATAATTATGCTAACCTACATTAGGAAAACTTGTTTTCCAAAGCTCATAAGACTTCAAATAAAGGACTTTTTTGATCAGCGAACTGGCCCTGTTTCTCCCGGAACGAAAGACACACAGAGAGAGAGAGAGAGAAGAACCATACGGCTTTCCGTAAGAAAGACTATTAGATCAGGGCGGATTTGTTTTGAGGTGGATGTGAGAGGTGGCAAATTTTTTCTGGATTACCTTCAGTACAACTCACATAATAAAAGTGTAGGTAGATCCCTAGATCTAGGCGAGGTTCGGAACATTTTCAAAATAAAAAAAATGTTTAAAAAAATTTAAAAAATACCTATTTTAACTGAGTTTTTTACTTATATCTTGGAACCTATGCATTTTGGAAGAATATTGAAGAGGAAAAAAAGTTTTAGAATTGAATTTTAAATAATATACTGTAAGTTAAAATTGTTAAATTTGTTACCGATGTTGCAAAATAGCAATAATTTATTGAAAAAAAAGGCAAAAGGCAAAGTTTTTTGGATAATTTTTTTTAATATTTTAATTGCTTCGAGGACATTCTAATTTTGGTAAAAATTACTTTAGAGTATAATAAAACAACACACCAAACTTCATTAAAATCGGTTAGATAGTTTTCGCAAAATATTGTTTTGAAACAAATTTTTCGAATTTTCAAAATATTGCACAGCCTCAAATAAAGTATCTAGATACTTGAAAATTTGTTCACACAGAAAAGACCGNATTTTTGAATATTCAAAATGTTGCACAGCCTCAAATAAAGCATCTGGATACTTGAACATTTTTTCACATAGAAAAGATCGCTCAACCTTTCAAATGGTTTTTGAAAAATTGAAATCGGTTGATTAGGACGGCCTCTGTAAATTTTTAAAGTTAACACTCTTTTTTTTATTTTTAAGCAACTAGATTACATTTATCAATTTACTACTTAGTTTTTTTCAAATATAATTTTAAAGTACTATTTTTTTCTTAATTTTATCTGTATTTAACAAAAAAAATAATTTCCAAACATTTTTTTTAATTTGCTTAAGCAAAAATTATTTAAATAATTGTAATAATTATAACTAAATACATTCATATTCAGAGTGTTGAAATATATACGTAAACAAATTTTTTTATTGAAAAAATGCAATAGTATAGGGTAAAATATACAGTATATTTAATGCATACATAATAAACTTTGTTTATAACAAAATATGTGCAAATTAGACAGTTGGCATTACGATATTCGAATTCCTCTGCGAGACATCGGATTAAAAGAAAAAGATCGAAATTGGTCTATTAGAAGCCGATAATGCAATTTTTTTCGTACCTTCTCATTTTGAACCGAATTCAGTCTCGGAGCGAAAACCCCCTCCCACACTTTTCGTGTTTTGAGTTACTTTTCGCGCGCGCGAGCGACAGCTTTTCCGCTGATGTATCTATGTTGCCGATAACTTATGAATAAGAAAATTTGTTCCAGCTTAGAACTCGGAAAAACGAAGAGATTATTGCTAAATTGTTTATAAATTAACGGTAAATGCCGATAAATTTTCACCGCTTATATCTCGGGAACGAATAAACGGAATTTAACTTTTTCTTAAAAAAGAAGCGTCTTTACCAAAATTAGAATGCCCTCGGAGCAATTAAAATATTTAAAAAAAATTATCCAAGATACTTGATTATGTTACCTTTTTTTCATCAATTATTGCTATTTTGCAACAGCGGTAACAAATTTAAACATTTTTAACTTATAGTATATTGTGCAAAATTCAATTCTGAGACTTTTTTCATCTTCAATATTCTTCCAAAATGCATAGGTTCCAGGATATAAGTAAAAAATTAAACTAGTATTTTTTTAAAATTATTTAAACATTTTTGCAATTTCGAAAATGTTCCGGACCTCGCCCAGATCTAGGGATCTACACTTTTATTATGTGAGTTGTACTGAAGGTACATCAAAAATTAGTTTGCCCCCTCTTACATAAAAAAAGTGGGATATTTCAACAGATCCGCCCTGGGCTATATATTAAGCGCGATGGGACTAACTTACTTTCAATGTCTCCTATCTTGATAAATATTCATTTTTCAACCTTGAAATATAACTTTGAATTTTTAATCGTGCAAATAATTTTTACATATTTTGAACAGTTTATTACGTAATAACTGAATATCTTGATCTAGAATTGAATTTTGATAATTTTGTTTATATAAATAGCACAAACTGAGAAAAGAGTCGGTTCCGATACTTGGTCAGTCTAGGGACATTAATTTTTACTAATGTGAAAAGTGGACCTTATCAAGCCAATACGTCTAACATCGAAAAATGCAGTATATTTTGCTTTATCAGGCGTTAGAGTGCTCCATACTCTATTATTCTTTCTAACGCATACTGGGGCGAAAAAGTTTTTTTTTGTTCAATACAGGTCTCAAATTCCTACCCTAACCAAATAGAACGTTCGAAAGCTTAAAATACCCGTAATTCATTTTCGAATGGATCCTCGAAGTCCGATTTTCAAAAAACACAATACATAATAAATAAAAACATAATAATATAAACCCAATAAACTCAGAACTTTCATAAAACTAATCTCCGATCTGTAGAACTCCGTGAGCATATAACTTATGGTGTTATGAGATTATAGAGTTGTGAGGTCATAGACTAGCAGGATTATTGGTTATACGGTTAGCAGGTTATAGCATCAATGCTGTTGCGGAGTTTCACAGTTCTAGAAATATAGTGTTATAAGGTTATGTGGTTTTGGAGGTTTCCGGTTATGGGCTAGCAGGATTTATTGGTTATTTGGTTATCAGGTTCTGGCATCAAGGGTTATACAGTTGTAATGTTTTACAATTTAGAATATTCAGTATTAAAAAATTATGTGATCACGGAGTTCTACAGATCGGAGAATACCTACAGTTTTATGGAGGTTCTCTGTTTGTTGAGGTTATTGAGTTTTTCGAAAATCGGGCTTCGAGGTTCCGAATTCAGTTACGAGTATTTTAAGCTTTCGAACGTTATATTTGGTGGGGATTTGAGATCTGTAGCCATTTTTGAACAAAAAAAAAACTTTTTATTCCCAGTGTTCGACGGTTTCCAAGTAATGGCCACTTAAGTACATATTGCCGATAAAATAATCGAAATTGTTCGTTATCGAATATCGGAATATTACACACACCGGTCATAAGAATTTAATTATATAATAAAAATATCCAGTTCGGCAGCATATATTTTTAAATACACTGATGGATTTAACTGATAAAATCCCATCCCACATAACTTGGACGAAACATTTTTAAATCTTATGATTTATGAATTTATGTCATTATAATTACTGCTATACGGAATACTGCACTCAATTGTTGTTTGAAAATAATAATTAACAATGTAAATTGCTGTCAAATTTTCGAATGTGATCATATTTTATTTCCTGTGTGGCATTTTAACTTCGTGTTAGATGTTNAAAAAGCCCTTTGTTTTATCTTTTTCCACCCTTGGCCGGGGGTTGAACAAAAAATTACTCTCACTTATTGTTATAATATACTTTAAACTAACTCATATCAAAAATTCAGCCAAGTTGGCAAAATTTCGATTTAAAGGCTTAGTTAATTGGACTATACCTAGGCGTTTGTTTTTTGTGCTTCCTTCTACCAACCGTTAATATTACTTTTTCATTATTATACAACACCCATGTAACAGGTGACGTCGAAGTTGATAAGATAAGTACGGTTTTGCACAGCGTTAGATGTTAGCTAATGAAGTAACTAAAATTTACTATTTATTTAAAATTAATTTAGTAAATTTATTTAAATTTACTAAAACTCAGTTTTAGCCTTAAGATAAGTTCCATAGGTTTTTAAATCTTGTATTTGAGTGTAATTCTTTATATTGTTTTATGCTAAGTCAACGATAAAAATTTTAAGCTTTTTTTTATTCTAAAATTCAGAACGTTTGTTCTATAGTGCAACCTGTCGGGACACATACGGTTTACCTGACATGACCTCCACTACCAGAGGTGAAGAAACTAGAGCCCTTTGTACTTCTGAATACTCGGATATTTCTCCTCTGAAAGGGGGCAACGTTGCCTTTGGTACATTAGAAGGCCGTCCATCTGCATACAATTTTGACACTAGCCCAGAACTTCAGGTGAGTGAAAGTGGTTATTCGAAATGATTATATTTACATTTAATTTACTTATAATAAATGGTAATTGTACAGTCTGTTAGAAAACGAATGACATAGTTCAAGGGTAGCTTCCTTTGTTAAACATAAACCGAGTTACATTTAGAATTACAATATTATTATCTTCATACCTGATTTTATTTATTTTTCTAAGATATTTCAGTGAAATTTGGTAGTCTAGCATAAATACCAACTTATTTTTTACCTAAAACATAGGGGTCGCTAAGAATAGTTTAAATAAGAATTGTTTAAACGTTTTACATTTTTTTGTTATATTTTTTATATTGATGCAGATTTTGAGAAACACGGGGTATATGAAACGTCACCTTATATGTATAGTATAGAAAGGCAGTAGTAGTACTTCTTGTATATCGCGAAAATGCATCGCTCCAGGGAAAAAAGCTCTTAAGCTCTTCGGTTTTCTAATGCTGTTATTGGTTACGTTCACGTCAGATGGTAAGGTTAAGTAAAATATTAAATAGGTACTATGTTTGGTGCCCGATCTTTACAATAATCCGTTCTGGGACAGCTACCAGTAATCAGACACTTGCTTAAGATCCGAAAATAGCTGTTATCAATTTATTTCACCTAGGATAAAAGTTAAAGGTAACTTAACCAAATCTAAACTATTATAACGAGATGTTGAATAAGTTATCGCTTTTTTTCGTGAAAAGTAATGCTCTATTTAAAAAAAATAGTAAAGAATATGTCACTGAAAGTATTATCCATCGCTAGCCACTAATGTTTCTCATCTTTCGGGCAGCAGAAGAGTATACCCATTTTTTAAAATTTTCATAAGAATGGAAGTGCTGCTCAACCAGGCCATGTGCCATCATTCGGAACAAGTGATGAACGAAAGGGACAATTTCTGGTGAAAGTAGCGGGTGGGGTAGGTCTTCCAATTACGTTTTCACCAGTTTTGCAACATGTCAACGTTGTCATGCTGCAAAATCACTTTATCGTGTCTCTGCTCCTATAGCGACCGCTTTTCCTTCATTTTCCTTCAATGCTCTGCTCAAATACATCAATTGTAGTCGATAGCGGTCTTCCGTGATGATTTAATTCGGTTTGAGCAGAACAGAAGATTGGAATTATAGATGTTCTGATGCTTTGTCGACGATGTTGACGCAAGACTGGACTTAGTCCAGGATTTTCTAGGCTTAGGATTATCGTAGCGGAACCATTTTCATCGCCAATTTCGATATGATGCAAAAAACCTTACCTCTTCTGACACTGAAGCAGTTGCTCACACTTACAAAGAAGTTCGACGTCTTTCGGTTTCAACTCTGTCCTTGCTTTTGAATAATTCTTAATGCTTTCAAACGTTTCGAAACTGTTGTGTGATCAACTTCTAATGATTCTGCAGTTTCAGCTAGCGTCTGACATGAGACATTAAGCAATGCCTTCAATTCTTCATCTTCAAACTATTTCGGTGCGTCATCAAAATCATTATTTTTTGAAACTTCTAAACCAATATCTATATGTTGTTTGCGACAGAGCATAGTCGCCATAAGTCTCAACAAGAATTCGGCGTGCTTCGCTGCAGATTTCTGTTGAATAAAGTTGTGCAGTAAAATTCCTCGCAAATACTCTTTTTTCGACACGAATGATTAACAATATGAAAAAAAGTAGTTTACAGTTCGGCGAAATAACATACACTGAATTTCAAGCTTACTTGTAACGCCATCTGTTGGAAAACAGCGAGAACTTATTCCCTATATTTTTTTGATAGAGGTTAGACAAATTTGGATACGAATAGTTTTGATGCAGTTTCAATTTGAAAACAAATCTTACAAATTTTTGAAGCTATTTTCTATACAGGGTGTCCCCAGCTGGATATCTCGAAAATTGAAAAAGATAAATGATTTCTGAAAAATCCACTGTATAGTTTCAATACATGGCTTTACTTGTGAGTACAAATCCTATTCCTTTCAGTGCAGGTATAGATGTCGCTGCAATCCGAAAACATATTTTGTTGACAGCAGTTTTGAAAAGTGGCGCACATGAAAGATCTCTAAATTAGAAGTAACTTTTGTGATATAAACAATTTTCGAACAGCCACTAGTTTCCGAGATACTTGGATTTGAGGTAATTTTTTTTCCAGGAGGAAGATTTTTTAAAGTTAAGTTTTCAGGCATATCTACTGCAGATTTTCGTCGTATTAGATTGCTTTGAATAAAACAGTGATGAATTAATTTTTTTTAACTAATAGATATCACAGGAAATTACTTCATTTAATCTTGTTTACGCAAATCATAGTCTTCTCGATCAAAATAAAGTAATATTTATTTAACAAAAACTGATGCAAAATTAACAGAAATTACAAATAAACGATACTAAATTAACATAATACACGAGTCACATAAGTGTTCAAAATTGTCGCCATTCTCATGAATACTTAATTCATATTTTTTTCTAAGTTCGGTATCAGTTGCCCGTAATAAAAAATTTCGAGGAATAGATGCACAGCCCGCATAAATTTTATTGCACAAGTCAGGTAAGTCTTCAATTTCTGTTTGGTAAATTAGGTTCTTTAGGTAACTCCACAAGTAAAAATCGAGTGAAGTTAAATCAGGGATGCGGGCAGGCTACCTTATTGGACCATTGGTGCCTATCCATCGCCCCTGAAAATATTCATGAAGAAAATTTTGCACCCTCCTTTCGTTATGAGCTAGTGCCCCGTCTTGTTGGAACCAGATATTTTGTCTCATAACTAAATGAATTTCTTCCAAAAGAACATTTAGTTGGGTCTGAAGGAATTGTAAATAATTGCGACCGTTCAAATTTTCCTCATATAAATAGGGTCCCATTAATATGCCATTAATAATACCACACCATATGTTTATAGAAAACGTGGTTTGGAAATGGCTGTCTTTGGTCCATCTAGGGTTACTGTCATGCCAGAAATGGCTATTATATCTATTCAAAATGCCATTTTTTGCAAATCGACTCTCGTCAGTACATATAACTGGTCGTTTTCTTGAGCCTTTATTTCCATTTCTGCAATAAAAATTTAGTCTTCGTAGCATATCACCAGGACGTAAATTATGTAAAAGATGCACTTTGTAAGGATGATACGTATTTCGCTTCAAGATATTATGGACCGATGTTCCGGAAATCCCCGTTTCTTGTTGTATAGCTCGTACCGAGGTATGTGGATTAGTTTCNCAAAAAAGTTACTACATATTCAATGTATAACGTTGCCTGCAGAGGGCGCCTCGTACTCGACACTCAAAAATCATTATTATATTATTTTTCCCATCATAAAAAGACCTCTCTGTTGAAAATTTGAAACATTTCTGACTCAAATTGTAGAAATTATTAAGGGGAAACTCTTTTTTATTTTTCACTTTGACACCCTGTGTCTTTTTTATTATGCGACTTGGGATATAGGTATGTTAGGTTAAATCGACATATTTTCACCCAAGGAATCTCTGGTATCATTTGTGCCCCTCCATTTAAATACACCCTGTATAGACTGACTATGGATATTATTTGTAATTTTTGTTAATTTTGCATCAGTTTTGTTAAATAAATATTACTTTATCTTGATCGAAACGACTATGATTTGCGTAAACAAGATTAAATGAGTAATTTCCTGTGATATCTATTAGTTAAATAAAATTAATTCATCACTGTTTTATTCAAAGCAATCTAATACGACGAAAATCTGCAGTAGTTATACCTGAAAACTATAACGTTAAAAAGTCTTCCCCCTGGAAAAAAAATTACCTCAAAGTATCTCGGAAACTAGTGGCTTTTCGAAAATTGTTTATATCAAAAAAGTTGCTTATAATTTTGAGATCTTTCATGTGCGCTACTTTTCAAAACTGCTGTCAACAAAATAAGTTTTCGGATTGCAGCAACATCTATACCTGCACTGAGAGGAACGGGATTTGTACTCACAAGTAAAGTCATTTACTGAAACTATACAGTGGATTTTTCAGAAATCATTTATCTTTTTCCGTTTTCGAGATATCCCTGTATAACTACAATGTCGATGTATCTTTTCTCAGACGAAAAGTGGTTGATAGTATTCAAGATTTATTAGGTCAAGTTTAATCGCTCTACTAAGTGAATTTACATTTTGATTTACAACTTTCTGAAAAATGTTGCCGGAAAGCAACTTAATTCGTATTTAGTATATCCAAATTTTAGGCATTTTTTAGGCAAGGACGATAATTTCTACATTAACAGTTTCCTAGTCGGTGGGTCCATTGTGCAAACACGTTACGTGGCCCCAAGATCGCCGGAGCTAAATCCAATTCAATATTTTTGTGTAAGTGGATGAAAAGTTTAGTGTTGAAAATTCCGGCAAAAGTTTAATAAAACTTCAAGAAGGGTGTATATCAATAAGGCACGAAAATACAGTGTTAATGATAAATTTTGTCAAACTTTAATGGCGTATTGTACCAGTAAATTTTACGAATACCTTACAAGAATACTTTATTGCCACAAATTGATTGTACATTTTAAAAACATTTAAAATTATTTAAAAAACCAGTGGCGTCCGATTTTTTCAAAAAAAGGTCCCCTACTCTCCCAATAACTACGCCACTGGAGTGTATTTTGAAATAAGTTATCCATGAAAAAATAGTCCCTATTAAGAAAATGTCATCCCTAAATTTTATCACTCAATTTTGTATGCCAGTGAAGTTACAGGAAAAATAATATAAATATTTGAAACTTTTAACACCCTGTATCTCCGTAGGGAAGCGTCCTATCAAAATTTTTTATAGGGCAAAACTTGATTATTTTGATATGAAGAATACACCATTAAAGTCTGGCAAAACTTATCATTAACACCCTGTATATTTAAATTTTGATAATAAATAAATTAAAGTTGTTTAGGAAGTATGAAACTTGATGTGTCGGATGGGACTAAATAATAGCGGTTATGAAAATTTTTTTTCAGAATTCCATAAATAGGGTTATAAAATTTAAACTTTCGTTTTCGCATATTTTTACCACAAAATCTGAATTTTGGACAATTTTTTTAAGAGGAAATTCTTCGCTCTCCTCATCGGTTTAGAAGATACTCACATTTTTCTTCGAAAAATCGCATTACTTGTAACTATTTTATTTCATGGAAACAAGTGGACAAATCCCAAATATTTTAATGTTTTAGTTTTAAAGCAGATAGTGACAAAAATGTCATTTTTTTATTTTCCAGTAAGGCCGAGACTTCAAGCTTAAAACATCCTGTATAATTAGTACTACAGATTGTATTCTTGTTTACAAATTAGTAAAATTTTTATTACTTTGCAGTTTTTCAGAAAACATTATCCGATCGCCGGATTCGGAATGTCAAAATTAGAGTTTGTACAAAAAAAGTAAGGAAACCTCTTAGGTACTATTATTTTTGCTTTCTTATAAATGTATTAACCTAATTCAAATAAATTTTAAAAATCCTAATAAATGATGTTAAATGAAGTCAAACAGTGTTCCTCGATACCAGAAGTGTAGCCAAAGATGTGTGTATCTAATCCCATAGATAAGATTCCAATTTATTTTATTTTCCTAGAATCAGTAAAATCGTACAAAATATAAAAAATGTTTTTCCACCGTTTTTTACATTTTCACTTCTATTTAATGTTTTCTGTCATAGTTTTGAATGAATTAATAAAAAATGTATATTTAACTGATTGCAAGTATTAACGAAACGTTATAAAAAGGATAGATATTAGTACAGCATGAAATTATATAAAAAATTTAATAAATAAATTGGGGATGTACAATTGGTTAATATATAATATGTTTTCCTAAAATAATATTTTCATTATCTGCCTTGGATAAATAAGTTGGATAGGTATGTAAAATTTTCAAGAAAAGCAAATTATAAGTAGATTGTTAAATAGCAAGTCCGAAAACGGTAACAACGCAATACATGGTCTTATTCTCCCAACGCACTGTACAGGTGCCGTCCGTTGCACTATCCCAGTAGCAGGAGCTGGCCGTGTGCAATCCTGCTCCAGTCTTTTGCATGATGGAGCACGTCACCACATACTTAAACTGCTTTTTCATTTTACTTAAAGCACTTAGGCACTGTTCCGACACTTGGGCGCTCCATTGGGTAACTTTGTCCTGCTGATACACTGCGCCGCTCAGGATGGTGTCGATGGTGTCTCTCACAATCGTACTCACGTCATCCACAATAAACTGATTTTCGTCGTCATCCATTTTTGCAGAATTTTGACACGTTTCCTGATCAATTTGTGACAGATAATTTTGAGTATCGAACATGGTGACTAGACTTTAATAAAATTTTTGAATAAAACGTTTACCCCGTTCCGTGACTTGCGATGGAATGAGGCCTGAAAAAGAAGTGCACCGACATCATAATAAACTATAAAGTATAAAACGCGCATTTCTAGATGGGGATTGCACGCGATGTTTGTTTGACTCGGCGGTATAAAAGTTTGGCGGGTACCGACAACGGTGTCTCATATGCTGAAGGGTTTTCTCGAAATATTATTGTGTTATTATGTTTTATTATGTCGGCTATCGATCGAAAGAGGAGTAAATTAACTCGCTTGAAGTGCGCACATGTATAGGAACATATAATGGTGGTGCCTGGCATCACTCCATTTACACATTTGAATCATTTATCAGCATGTTTCAATTTAAAATATCTAGGACGTGTGTAAGAGTATGTACAGTATGTCCCTGAAACGGATGGACAACACTTGATCACAGGTTCTTTGGATGAAAATAAGACTATTTAACCACAGCAGTACATCCGGCTTGCGAACATCCAGGCATTGTCCTTCATAAATATATAACTATTAATCCATAATGCATAAAGAAATTATTCAATTTCCAAAACCCCCTAAAACGTGTTGCACTGATTCCTTTGACAGGCAATGATTTATTACTTTGCATCGAATATGATCCTACTATATAGCCTTCTAAATATAGAACAGATATCCTAGATTTTTTCTAATAATTTGAAAACTGGTTTTCTTAGAAGCTTCAAATTTGGTACACATATTTGTTTATATAAGGGCAATGTAAATAAAGAATTTGGTGAGAACACATTTACAGGATGCTCTCATTTTAGTGCCTGTGCGCCACTGGCTATCCCGTAACTTTTTTTTGTGTACGCCAGTGACGTCAGAATTTATATTTTTAAAAATAAGCACTATTTTAGAAGATTTTTTTGCTCTTACAAAATTTTGATATCGTTTATGGATTTCGAGTAAAACTAGGATTTTTTACACATTAAATAATATAAAATCAGTTTAAAATAATTAGATCAGTCTAGTATGAGGTGCCAGTGGTGCCACATAACAAAGAAACAAATTCATAACAATAATTAAAAGGTTCAGTATCAAACTAGGCGTCATTTAATTTTAGTTTACTTTGTTTTTTGATATTTTTTTTAGTATGGCTGTAATTTATACTTTTGCTGAACAAACTGAAAAGTTACCGGTTTTGGGTTAATGTGAAGGAAATTGTTGTGCTAGTGTTCGAAAATATGCTGAAAGATTTCCTAATCGAAGAATTTCAAATCACAAACAATTTGCTAATGTGGAGAGACGCCTTCGGGAAACAGGACATTTTTTACCTGTAACATGAAATCGGGACAACGTACGGCTAGAACTATTCAGTTGAAAGAACAAATTTTGGAAAGGGTCGAAGAAATTCCGTAAGGAAGTACAAGGGGTTTAACGGCAGAGGTTGGCTTTCAAAAAGTTCCGTTAATAGAGTATTAAAAGACCAGTTATTCAAGAATCAAGTTCAAGAACTTTTACGTACCAATAGATCCTTCGTCACGTTTTGCTTTCAGTCCACGTATTCAGGAACTCAGAAATAGAGATGATAATATCCACAAGAAAATCCTGTTTACAGATGAATCAGCTTTTACTAGAAGGGGTATTTTTAATTCACATAATGAACATGTTTATTGTGATGAAAATCCACCCAGAATCAGTAAAAGACGGTTTCAACATGAATTAAAGATTAATGTTTGCCCTGGTATTATTGGTAGTATTTTAATTGGTTCTGTTCTATTACCTGCTACATTGAACGGAAAAATTATCGAGAATTTCTCCAAACAAGATTACCTATCTGCCTGAAGAGTTATCGATAACACTACGAATTAATACCATTTTCATGCTTGATGAGGCACTTCCCATTTTGCCTTATCGGTAAGGCAATACTTAGATGAGCACTATACTAACAGGTGGATAGGTAGAGAAAATAATGCCACTTTAAAATGGCCACCTCGGCCAATGGACTCTAACCCGTGTAATTATTTGTTTCGGGGAACGTTGGGAACCACAGTTTATAGCTTTTTAGTAAATTCAGGAAACGAATTATGCGGAAGAATACAAAATGAAATTAATGTTATGAGAGGTAATGCATAATTATTGGATAAAATTTATGTAATATTATTTCAATATGATTACAAATATCAATTTAGGTTTATTTAAAATGTTGATCTTGACTTTCTTATATTATTAGTTAATATTGTTTATTTAAATTACTAGTGTTGACTTTTTATTTTATTGATTGATGGTACTAAGACCAAAAATGTGTAGTTAATTTTGTTTTTTTAATGTGAAGTTTTTTCATTATTATTCCCTCCTTTGGGCTGCAGTTATAAATTATTTTTTAGTGATCGGAATTTTGCCTATAAGCAATATATATAAAAAATGGCAACTTTACTCGAAATCCACAAACGACATCAAAATTTTGTAAGAGGTAAAAAATCTTCTCAAATAATGCTTATTTTTAAAAATATTAATTCTAGCGTCACTGGCGTACATACAAAAAAGTTACGGGATAACCAGTGGCGCACAGGCACTAGAAAGAGAACATCCCGTATTCTCACCAAATTCTTTATTTACATTGCCCTCTAATAAAAAATATGTGTAGGTACCAAATTTGAAGTTTCTAAGAAAAATAGTTTTCAAATTATTTGAAGAAAACGGTTCTATTCCATAAAAAGCTATACTTATCTCAGTAGGCGTGAACTTTTGTATATAGGTAAGTTAGGCTAAATAGTTTTATTTTCATCCAAGGAACCTGTGGTCAAGCGTTGTCCATCCTTTACAGGGACATCCTGTATATCAATTATATTCAGAGAAATACAGGAGCCCAAAAATGTAAATATGGTGATGTAACAAAGAAAATTTGATACCCACGTGTCATGGTTTAATAATATACATATATTCTGTCATAAAATATCAATAAACTGACTCAGGAAATTACATAATTAGATTTCTAACATGCTCTTAGGTAATAAATATTGTCATACTCCAAAATAGAAAATTAATAATTTTGTCACTTTAACCTGTGAGTGAAGCTAATAATAGAAATTAATTATATTATGTATTTTACATTAAGTATGTTAAAAGTGGAATAATTCAATAATAATAGTTCGTAACAGGATTATCCAAAGCCATTTGATTTGAATGATTTTAATCTTTAAGTAATGAAACAGAGTAATGAAATCTGAATATCAGAAACAGTACATTTATTATTATAAAAAATTGACATGTTTTATTAATCAGCTTCTAACGCCGGATGTGTTGTAGTTGATATGTTGATATCAACTCTATCTTGATATAGTTGAAATTGACCCACAAAGGTTCATCAAGAGTGAATCTTGGCCTACCGCATTATTCGGTCACTAACCTAGTTTTTACTGTGTTTTTAATGAGTTGTGAACGATAAGGAATAAATATATTTTTTACCTAGACACATGAATGAATAAGATATTTTTTTTACATTTTAAATATTAACAAGTATTATTTATTTGTTAATAAAAATGTATACAGTGTAGGAAAGTACCGATGGTCTATCAGAAGTTACGTGAGAGCGATAAAGTAAGCCATAGAAATCCATGTGATAGACAAGGATGGCTATAATGAAGGCGTCTAATAGTTAACGCCCATTCGCCCTTCCACAAATAAGAAGTGGATCTTATCTAAAACTTACCGTTTTCGAGATAATAAGTTGTTTTTGTAAAAAAATCACGATCTCCAAATGAGGGCTATATAGCGACTAAACTGTAAGAGTTAAAAATCTGCAGTTTTCACAGTTCGTTTTGGCATAAATTACTCTATTTTATCATCTGTGAGCAAAACGTGTACGTTTTTCAGACTCTGAAATACTTAGACCTACATTTAATAACCTTACGAGTTGAAAAACTTTTTTTCAAATGTAATGACCCATATACGTATATATCATGGGTGAATGCAAAATCAGGTTCTTTCCTAAAGTCCGAAAAAGTAGCTATGTAACACCGTCATGAAGGCCTTAGTACAATGTGGATACATAGGATTTTACGAAAGCACAGCACAGCATATCCTTATCGAATCCAATTACACCAAGAGTTACTTTCAGCGGAGACTGGAGTTTTGTCAGTGGACACTTGAGATGTTAAATCAAGATGATGGTTTGTTTAAACGGGTCATGTTCTCCGATGAAGCTACTTTTTATAAAAATGGTTTCGTTAATAGTCATAATTGCTATTATTATGACAGAAAATCCTCACCAATTCCGGATAACTCATAGCCAACGATGGTCTTTGAATGTGTGGAGAGCAATTTTGGGACCATGTCATCGGACATAAACTTTGTAACAAATACTCTAGAAGATTTGTTAGGCGACATTCTCTTAGCTACACTTCGAAGAATGAGGATGCAACATGATGGTGCTCCACCTCACAATACCGCTGCCGTTCGTCAGTTTTTACATGAAACTTTTCCCAACAGATGAATTGGAAGCGGGGGACCAGTGAGTTGACTTTCAAGGTGTCCAGATATGACAAGTTGCGACTTCTTTCTATGGGGATTTATAAAAAGCAAAGTTTACGTTACCCCACTAACTACAGCGGAAGATATGAGGCAGCGCATTACAGTAACATTTCAAGAAATTACGCCACTATTGAACAGTCTTTTATAAACCTAATTCGTTTGTTTATTAATCAAAATGGAGGACACTTCGTGTAATTGATATAAATCAGCGGTTTAAGTATTCTTCTCCTTGTTGTGTTTCCAGATTCAGATTGTTTCGTTTTGCGTTTTGTTTTAGGTGTTTGCTAGTGGTTTACATCAGTTTGTCAAACCACTTTTTAAACATGCCAGTAAATATTGACACTGTCAGTCTCAGTCCTGATAAAATGTGAGAGAAAAGTGGTTTTGACCACTGGCCTTCTTGACGCTGTTACATAGCTATTTTTTCGCACTTTAGAATAGAACCTGATTTTTCTGGAAAACTGTAAAAGATAAGTATGGACAATCTTATATCAGTCGAAAGGGCATTCAATTTTACA